TAAGTTAAAAAAAATTTAAGAGCATGGAATTCACTACCATCATAATTCAAGGGCATTGAATATTATCTATTATATTTACAAGTGTCAGTTGATACAACAGTAATAATAAAAAAAGGAGTATACGACATCATAGTGGGCGTTTATGGCGACAGCAGCACCAACATAATACATTTTTTTTTATAAAAGAGGGGGCAAACGAGCAGACGGGTCACCCGATGGAATGCGCCGCCGCCCATGAACGCGTGCAACTTCGGAGTCACAAGCTTGGAAGAATAATTATGTGAAGACATATTGCGTTCACGTGGTGCTTTCAACGCTTTCCTGTGTTATGCAAATAAAGACTTCCGTTTCCATGTGAAATTATTTCGTTTCTAGTGCATAGTTTATTTTTGGTCCTTTTGAAGATACCAATCGCATGTGTCTCTGTGTCTTTTATTTAATTTTAGCTTCATAATTTAACTATATTATTAACGTAAAACTATATATAAAACGATATAAAAAAAAAAAAAAAAGGAATAATATCTACAAATCTTTCCATTTTTTTAATACTTGATATTTTTCTAGAAATATCCAAAAGGCAAAACGTGATGTAATGTGAATATGGGCCTGATGCCTCAAGTAGTGCAGACGTTGTACTTTATCTAACAGATGTAACACACTAACTAATGATACGAATTTAAATAATATAGGTACTATATAATAATGTTCGTAATATAAAAACCAAGATATGTAGAAGCATATCTTCGTTTTCGAAATGAATTTCGAAAACGTGTAAACATAAAAGCTTTGTTTGTATATACATACTCGTACACATGTATGTCAGGGTTGCATAGCATCATGCACAGATGACTCACTCGATCGGTATGAAACCTTCAATACTGAACATCAAACAGGCTGATTATCGCACCATTACACTTTACACACACATTCTGGGTATTGTATAGCCACAATGTATTTTGTCTTTAGCTTGAGCCTTGAATTTTTAGCCTTTATGAATCAGAGAACGAAGGTCCTTTTAATTCTGGATTTACATACATGTTAATAATATACCTAATCAAAAAATAATTGAATCGAACGTACTTGATACTAAGTCAAGTACCTGTTTCGGGATAGTATCAAAATACTTTTTATGTATTTAAATTGTCAATAAATTAAAAGTTTATTGTGTTGACTCTAGAGAAAAAAATAAAACTCCTAAAAATTTTTCATCAACAAACATTTTTGTTCTGAAACAGTGTTACAGTTGTCAGCGACAATCTTAAGATTTTGGATATGACTGACTGATGCCACAAACATCTAAATAAGACCATATAAAAACTAATATCTCCGTCTCCTCTAGTATACAGTAAGTGGCTACATTTATTTTTTTAAGTTCTCTTTAATAAAAGTATATAAGTGTTCAATCAGTCAATCTAGCGTTCATACTCGTAGTACAAGCCCTGCTTAGTTTGAAACTAGACTGCGTTCTGTGTCAGATGTCCGAATCCGTGTATTATTAATCAGTAATCCTAATCCAAGTATTCCAAGAAAATCTAGACTCGTAAATAACATCTTTAGAGAAAGGTATCGCATTAAACATTGTGATTGTTCTGAAAATAACAAAATTGAGGTGAAGTTTCACCTGCTGAAGGCCGTACGTTCACCATTATAGCCCCAATTAGTTGTTTCATTTGACAACTTGACAAATGCGGGTTATTAGATAATAAGGAACGTTTTTATAACATCGTATTATGTCCAGTTATCAGATTGGCAAACAACCAGAGGACAAAAACATGTAACTTTGTAGGTTTATCTGATCCGTATATTTCAAGACAAATCCGTGCACCTTATCGTCGACATGGTATTATCGGGAGTCATTTCCTTTCTAAAAATAAGTGTTTATCTTACATCGAGAGTATACTTAGGTGGTTTGTACTTTACCGAAGACATTGGTGCTTTCACTCACAAATCATTCTCATTATGTCGCCAGTTACACGAAAATAATTCCTGTGGTAATGTACAGATAATATACTTAAGATTCATCGGACTTTTTCATGCAATCAGTTTGTTTAGTTTCCTATTTTACATATCAACTTTAGTGTTATATGTTTGCAAAGTTAATTGACTTAACTCATAGTAAGCGTTACACGTACTATAATCATATTTATTATTATGTAGTGTCTAAAATAAGTAACATTTCATGCTTAAAGTTGCGAAGGAGTGAATACAAAAGAATAGCTTCGCATCCTGCATCATCACAATTACTACTAAAATACTCGGCAAATCTAAAATCTCTTAACTCCTCTAATCATTGTCTTGAAAACTTCAAAAGAATTGCTATCGCACACGAAAGGTAAAAGAAAAAATAAATGTGTCATATCAACAGCTGCAGAAGCTATGAAGAATTATCATTTCATCTCTTGTGACAGCCAAACGTTTCGTTTAGAATAGCAATATATACTTTAAATATGAACACATCTGCTTGATGTTTTATTTATTCAATGAGTATCTAACATCAGATGAAATCTTTTAACATGTTATTTGTCCCGGTCGTGGTCGACAGATGCCGTCTCCGACAAGGAAGGGCGACGTTCTAGTTTAAGTTCAAATCGAATGTGTGTCAATCTAAAAGTGCAAAGTTTCCTAGTGCAGTTTTAGATTGACTTAACTCTGCTTCTATTTTAATGTGAGTCATCTTCTGGGCAGATAATGTCGATTCAAATGAAGACCAGTTGCTATTTCATCGATCTATAACATAATCCCTACTAATATTATCTCTACTCATAGTATCTCTGTTACGCTTCCACGGCTGAACAACTGAACCGACTTTAATGAAATTAAAATGAAAGTACATATAATACTTTTCACTGCGATAACAAAAACTGTTTAATAATAAATACTTGAGCTCACATTTGCAAATAAAGAAGTAAAGATTTAATCTATATATTCATGTATTAGTTCACGCAAGATAATATTGATGTATTCCCTTATCTGTATTGAAATTTAAAAGGTTTTGAATCACAAGCAAAGGGTCAATTTGATTCACTTAAATTTAACACACTTGTTACTATGTGTGAGTTAGATATGTTTTGACCATTTTATTTGCTTGCTCGCCAAATCAGATTCTTTAAAAAAACTCAGTGAAACTTTACAATTTCTTCATGCAACAAAAAATAAGGAGAAGATCGTATGCCACCATCGGGCTAACACTGTGTGGACCGTTGAGATATTTGATATATTTGGTATAAGATATTTGATATGGTTTGGTTATGCATTTAGGTTTCATCACATTGAATTACGTTATTTATTTTTGTTAATTCTCCCTAGATAATAAAAGTTAATGTACTTTACTATTTTGACTCGAAGAGTAAAATACTGTTTTAAGAGATGATACTGTGATTTTATATGTAGACGCAGTATTTATCGTTGTATACATGGTTACAACATGGACAAAGCTAACTAATTTAATGTTTAAAATTAAGATATTACGAAATAGTTTATAAATACGGAATATTACAAAAAAATGTGGTGATATTATAGGGTCATATAGATCCCATAACTAAAATTATGCTTCAACAATTCGAATATTTGTTATTACATGGAAAACTTACAGCTTACTTACAGCAAATTAATCATCAGAGAGTCAATTTCAAGTTTAAACTTTAACTAAAATAACTTAAGACATCTTGCATTCGGTCTTCTGATGGCAAATTAGGTACAGCTTGTACTAATCTACTTATAATAATCAGTATGCTGGTTAATATACTGATGTATTAGATAAATTACACCAAAACACATAACAATGATGGAGACAAAACACAATAATTAGACTTCAATGGTAATAGAACCTCTGGCTGACCAATCAATATCACCAACCAGTGGACAAAGAGACCCGTGTTATTTGCTTGTTATGAGGTTAAAAGTAACTGTAACTTTACTGACGGTAACGGAACGGTCAAAGACGTGTAGTTTTCATTTAAGGAGAATTTTTGCCGTGGGAGAGACAATCTTCGATACAAATAGGTCGGCTCGAACGGGGTGATATTATGGTCTCACAGAAAACTGATGTTAAGAAGTTCCTTCGTTGATTATTCACCAATAGTGTGTTCATCAACCACGACGTGTGGCTGACGTTCATGTGTGGCGATGGTCACTTTCCATCAGGTGACGAGTCTGCTATTCTGCCCCCTCTGACATAAAAAAAACAAACCCCTCTATTTGATTCTGATCCGTTTGCTCATTTACCCACCATACCATAAAAAATAATCTTCACCATCTGATCATCACATCACATCAACAGCCTTTAATAGTCCCCTGCTGGACATAGGCCTCTCCTTAGAAAGGAGGTTTTGGCCTACTATACCACGCTGGCCAGACGGGTTAATAAAGGGTTTGTGTCAAGTTTTCTCTTTTCAGTTTTTTAAATTTTACTTTAAATAAGGTAAATTAACAAAAATTGTGACTTGACTAAACCCATCAGTTTCTATGGACTAATAAATATTTTATTGTTTCAGCGTTTGACCACAGTTTGCAGTGCAAAATAGTCAAAACGTTTGGCAATAGAAAAGTATGTAAACCTAAAATGTGATCGTGTATTAACGCGACGACAATAATTGTGTTATACGTACACAATTATTGTCGTCGCCTCGCGTCGCGAAAATTTTATGAGTCATGATTTATTAACTACTCGAAGCAAAAAATAGTTAACTCCTAACGGGACGACAAGCGACAGTATGTCGCCCTATATTCCTGGGTTCCGCACATCACCATCCGTCTGTCTGTCAATTTGTCAGTCGCTTAAGCGCTCTGTTTTGTTTGTGGCTTTTCTAAAAATAAGTAATAGTTTTTTAGTAGAAGCTTTCATAACATAGTTAATACGTAGTTTAGCATTAATTCCATTAGATTTGTTTTTTTAAACTTACATTGTAAAATATTTTTTATATAGTAGAGAGTGTGTCAGTTATGCGAGAACGGTGATGTCATTACAGACGGTGTATATATTTGCTGACATACGGCAGAAAATGCATAAAGAAAAAAAATACCATTCTAAGACCGGAGAGATCGGACGGTTCGTAGCATATTATTGCTACGAAACTGCGTAGCACTTTCGTAGACATGTACATTAGGGTCCCAGAACTATATTATATACTATTATATAGTGTGGTTATTAGTTAGTGCTACATTTTTTTAACTCTTGCCTTGTAAATTATATGAACAAGTCATTATACTTCTATAGAACTCCCATTAAACTTATATTTGGCTTAGTTCAGTAGGACTGCGAGTACTTGCATACTTGACGATATTCCAATTGGTTTAAGTAAGTTCATGAAAGAAATATATTGATTTTAAATAGTTATATAAAATTTATTCACATCCAAAATTAAATAGTTCATTCACATTGTAAGAATGAATGTGAAATGTGAGTAACCTCGACATTATTTAGTATAGTACATGTTGCACAATATGACGAAATATTTTAATGTTTCATAGATTATATTTTTAAATAAATTACATTTTAATAAAATTATAATAACAATAAAGGATTGAAATCGATACAAATGTATGTATGATGTTTTTGGTTAGGCAAAAGTATATGTTTAAAGTTCAAAAATAATATCAGGTCAGTTAAATGTCATTAATAAATATATTTTTTTGTTATATTAAGAAAAGACGATATTCTTAAGTTAGGAATATTTATTTTTGTGTGTACGTTACGCGACATCATTGTCGTCAACTGATGTCAATCATTCTGTATTTAATCAAATTGGTACAACCAATTTAAAGAAAATATTCTACGTTTGAGGGTGAAACATTAAGGTATGAATCACCCACATCAATGCTCCTCTCACACACTAACATCTCTCGTGAACTTGAATCTAACATAGGACGTTCACGTGACGTCATACTTTTTTTTTTGCAAATGAAACGCAATAATTAGCGTGGGGGTGCAAGCATTAGTCCATGATCATTACATTAATAGAATTATTATTTAATCTATATATATCACAGATCACATTGAATTTTGTCAGTGTGAAAGCGTCATGCAATGCCGACGTGTCCTCATACACGGGGCTCATAATCCTGAGGGAGATTGGAAGTAACGGCGCGGGCGGCTGCACGCACGCAAGACGCCCAGTTGCTGAAATATCTCGCTCAGCGCGAGTCAAAAATAGTACAGAATCGCGCCCGCGCGCCACTCCGCTGCATACAAAAGTGGCGAGCCGCTCGGCCAGCACCTCGCCTTATCAAATTTCCCTGCCCACACCGCCGCCCACGCATACAACCCGACAAGCCCCCGCATGCGTTAGTATGTTAGCACAGGCCTGCGATGTTAGACGAGTTATCAACTTCACTTAATCCGATTCGACGACACAGAAGCACTGAGCGACACCCGAAGCATTAATTGGTTATATCACTCGTCACTTACACAGTTGTTGACACTAAACACTGCTCACTAAGTAAATGATCGATCGCGAGCCGAATATCACGGTAGCGCTCGCGTCCGGCGCCGGCCACTACTCAACTGGTGCGAACGGACCCTCCTCGCGCTTCGACGTTCCAAAAATACCCGGCATTGTGTACACAACACTTATAACACCTAGGCTTCAGTATAAATCTTAGCACTCTTTATAAATAGTGTATTTCTCTATGTAACGTATAGAGATGCGAATGTTGACTATTAGCCTGAATCAATCGGCCTGGATAATAAGCGGTGAAACTATCTCTTGTCTGTTCTGCAGCGAAACTGCGAAAATACCAGTCTGAAAGATTATACCGTGGAGAGCCCCATGTTTAGTTAACGGTGTCATCAAATCCGCGATACGGAGTATTCCAGATGTTTTATTGAAATTACAGCTACTGCTTGCGGTTGGAAATATGTATTTGATAGTTTTTGAAAGTAACTAAAAATAATTATTACCAGTTAACGAGAATTAACGCGATTAATACTGGACGATTAAAACGTCAACAATTCAAAGGTATACCTTTGAATAGTCAGACTTTTACATAGTTACATAGACGATACATAGGACATAGGTATTTTATAAATATCTATTATTTTTTAAATAATGTTGTCTATAACATAAAGATTAGTATAGTAACTAAATATTGAAAGTGACTATTTACTGTTGAAAGTGACTACTTTTGCTAGTAAAAGTAATAGTAATAATAACTTCACACATTATCTCACACCCGGCCTAGGTCTGATCCCAAACTAGGCAGATCCTGTACTATGGTAACCAGCCTACTGATAAACATTCTTAATATTTCTAAATACATACATATTATATATAAATTACACCCCGACACAGAACTAATGATAGCGCTCATCACACAGTATTTATCCTGGGTGGGAAAGTACACGTAAACATAAAAGTGTTTTCTTATACAAAACTGTCTTGTTTGTCTGTAGTGTTGACATAAAGTCTCAGTCTGGAGTTGAGAGTTTATGCCAAAACAGATAAACAAACGGGGAGACAAACAAAATCAGCTTTATTAATTAAGGATTTACGGTTTTAATTGTGAGTGTCAACGAGGAGATGAGGCCTCTTTGTCCAAGGAATAGGAGGATGGAGGTTTGGGGTTCCAGTAACCTCACTCACTCGGTGAAAAGAAATGAGAGAATAGCTTAAAGATCGGACTGCATTTGAGCTGCGTTGTGCTTCACTGCACGGCGCGGCACGACGCGTCAAAACATTATTTTAGTCATTGTGTATAGTGTATGTAGCATTAAAGCGGCGCTGCATTAGGCGTAGCAGCAAAGTTGCATCCAGGAGGATATTTTGACGCGCAGCGCCGCTCAAATGCGGTCTGACCTCAACACCGCTTTTCTTTTCTATGTAGTCATTCCGGTCAAGCCGGCAAGCACAGCTTTCCCACTTTAAAAACGCTGAACTGTACCTGACTGGTCACCAACAAATATGTCTAAGGTGTACCACTTATTCATGGATAAAACCAGATAATGGACTACCTACCTACTAGTAAATATTTTGTATGTAGGCTTAGCCGGTTCGATTCTCATATATACTTACTATAATGTTTTTTCAACATGCTTTTAAAATCATCAGTTATACCTAGCTGAAGAATTAAGTACTAACTATAATAGTCAAACAAATAGCTGACTAACAAATTAAATTAATTAAGTAACCGACTAATGAACTGCCTATATGATTAATTACCGAAAAACTTAGCTAACTATGTAAACAAAACATAGAAATTATTTTTTTGTTGTATCGTCATGAAACTTTGGGCGTATACGTAGATTCATTGTCTATACTATAATTTGACACCTTAAATCTGATCGAATAACTGAGTCCAGAGCTGAATAGCTTAACTCTTTAGAAATTACTCATAAACCTCTCAAGTTTTCATATGATTCGCTTTGTCCAGTTTAACCGATTAGACTTAGTAACATTGACGAATGAGCCAGGAGTTGAATTGTGAAACACTTCTTTACTTATTGATTTTGTTTGCCAAAAAATACTGTTTTTCTTTTAGTTTTTCTGAACTTCGATTTGTTTTTAAAACATTTTATACAGATAATCAATATTCTAGTGATCACTGTTCCGTTTCTAAGAGTATACGAGTATTAGAATGATATTTAATACGCACGCCTTATTCAAAAAGGATGAGAACTTAAATCTGAGTAGTAAGTTACACAGATTACTTTTAAACAATTTACATATTATAAAATATAGTAAGTCTTGTTAGTAAGTAGTAAATTTGGAATGTGGAACTGAGGTTCTAGTGTGATTTAGATTGCATTAACTCGGTTCGGCGTTGCGTTCGGCGTTGCGACTGGCCTGCACTCAATTTCTGACGGGCCTGTTGGTCTAGTGGTTAGTGGCCCTGACTGCTAAGCTGGGAGGTCGTGGGTTCGATTCCCACCCAGGACAAATATTGTGTCGCACGGTCATTTGTTCTGGGTCTGGGTGTAATTTAACTATAATATGTATGTATTTAAAAATATATATAAGTATGTTTATCAGCAGTCTGGTTACCATAGCACAGGCTCTGCCTAGTTTGGGATCAGACGGCCGTGTGTGAGATGTGTGAGGTTATTGTTATTATTTAATTCGCTCTCGTCAGCGCACGGTGGGCACTTAGGGACTTAGGGATTTCAATTTGCCATATTTTTGCAAAATTGCATACTGCTATTTTTTTTGTTCTTAATTTATATATTCTTAATATTTGGGCTAATAACATTCTTCATATCGATGTTCTTAACTTAGACATTAAAAGGAACCGTTTTAGATGTAAGGATAAATAAAAAAATTTAGTGATTTAAAAAAAATAGCAGCTATAACCAGTAGTTATATGGAGTATGACAAAAATTCATAAATAATTAGTACTGTAACTGTGAGTACTACACATTCATGTAATTACATCACATATTGCAAAAAGGAATACAGACATCTGACATTAATAACACTTTAACATATAATAATAATAATAATTTAAAATTTAATTAGGGTAAAACTCAAGTTATGTGTTTTGGTTAAAGGCAATCAACCGATTTTAATTAAATTAAAGATTGTACATCAAGGCACTAATATTAATGACTCCAATAAAGCGATTTTTTTTGCATCAAAAATATACAATAAACTTCCGGATGTATATAGAAAATTAAAACTAAATTATGTTAAAAAGAAATAAAAAAAAACTGCTATCTGAAAAATGTTATTATATATGTTAACGATTATTTAAATGACAGTCTCTAAACATAGATCTTCTCCTACTCATTAAACTGCCTGTATCAAAACTTTTTCTTTTTTTTAACTTAACATTTGTACGCCACTTATGGCATATAGGAGTATGCTGTTATCCTGATTGTATTTTTTTTTAAACTTTGTACCATATTCATGCAAATAACTTTATTGGATTTGATTTTATTCGAAGAACTGTACGCAAACGAATTTCTCTACATTCTTGCTGCTCAATGCACTACTTTGTACAGCGAGGAATGAAATAATACACAAAGACTTTTGGCTCTGAACTAATCTTGAAGGAACGCATTTAGTTAATAATTATAGCAAGTTCACCTCAACACATTGTCCATTTAAATGGCTCTACATTAGACTAATAAAACTACATGCGTACAAATGCTACACCTTGGGAATCGTTCCAGACGTGCAATCATAATTGACCATTCATAAATCATAACTATTAATTTATTTTTAGATAATGTGAAAGGTATGATTAAAGACTGTCGTGGAAGAGCCAAGTTTCAGCACGTCTAGGCAGGCTCGAAAACTGGCGTTGGGCATTTCTTTTGTTGTATTTCACCATCTATTATTCGACCGGAGGAGGCCCAAGTGTGATTTTATTTTACTGACCGCGTTCGGCGCTACGATTGGCCCGCGCTGAAATCTCCACCAATCGCAACGCTAAACGCGCTCGTTGTCGAGAGCGAGTGAATGTGAAATAAACTTGAACTCAGCCCTCGGATGGCATAATGGTTAGTGTAACGGACTGCTACGCCAGAGGTCGCGTTGTCGATTCCCGCTCAAGTCAAACATTTGTGTGTATGAACATTTATTTTTTGATTTGGTCTGGATGTTTCTATCTATAATTTGTTTGTATTTCCAAAAGAAGTAATTATATGTATTTATATCAGATGTCTAGTAGATATAGTAAAAGCTCTGCTTGATTTGGGACTAGATGGCGCTGTGTGAATGTAATAAAAACTCATTATTATATATTATTATAATTGTGATTAAGTGGCAATTTACACAATATTTGCATTATACAAATACAAACACTATCCTTACTTATATTACAAATGCGAAAGTAACTCAGCTTGTAAAATTTAGCATGGAGATACTTTGATTCTTGACGAAGGACATAATTTTTACCGCGACAACCGACTTACAAGTTTATAAGTAATGTATTTTAAAAAGTCCTAGAATGTTACAGTTTCATCGAATTTTTGGAAGAGGAGAAGACATCTGCAGTACTGCTATATGGAAAAACTTGAAAATTCAATTTAAAAAAATATTTAGCTAGAATCCTGGTTTCAAGTTATTTTTTCTTAACTTTATTCGATTCCTTGATTTCGATTGATCCGATTCCTTGATTAATAGAATAATATTTTCTATCGGCATGTCATTTTGTTAGGTATATCTAGATACCGCTATAAGCAAATAAAATACCATTAAATTAATACATTCTTTCACATCCAATAAAAGGGTTTGGGTGACGCAGAGCAGTTATAATATCTTCACCTCATAAAACTAGTTACAATACGAAAATAAAACTACATTTTGGCAAAGGCCGACAAATCCATTTTATATTCATGTAATCTTAATGTACTAACTGCTAACTTTATTATCTATTAATAAAGTTTGAATTTACTTCATTGCAAATATACAGGAATAATATTAAAAGTAATGAAGAATTATTTTGTTAAAATGTTGAAAGAGCGTATAGAAGTGATGATTGGCAAGAATTTTTTAACAAAATTTATTGTCGTCAAGAATAAATTGTAATCGTGCGGGATATGCAAAATTAGCTACGACGGCATGGCAAGATTGCCGACTCTTGCGCAACATAGGATTAAACGTCTATAGACACATGTATCACAACTGTATACCATGTCGGAAGCAGACGAGTTCGGTTTATTCTAGGTTGTTGTATCTAGCTGTCATTGTGTTTGAGTTATTTGTACAGTTACGTAAATTGAAAAAAATAAAAATATTATTGTGTTTGGATGTTATATTCTTCAACAAATTCCTATTTAGTCGTAGAATGAAATGGCGATCTAAAATCTATATTAATGAAAGATATTAATGAAAAGACGAAAACTGAAAAATCTAATTTATAAATTATATATTAATAAAAAAATTATAATCTGATAATAATACAATGTATATAATCAACATTAATAAACCAATTTAAGAATAACTATTTATCTGTAGAAAAAAATCTTGTGAATCATACGAATAAAAGTTTTATGATAAAATAAAAATGTTTAGTGTTTCGAAAAATACAAAATGCTGTAACTTCTCAGTGATTTACAAGGATTTTAAAGTTTCAGTGTTCTATTTAATTTCTGTGGTTTTATATACGTTTTTTGATATAAACAAATAGAAAATATAAATAAATTCGCTCACTGTTTTACGTTAATGTCATGTAAGAGTTCATGGTTTTAAAACCCAGTGCAGCTTTAAAATGCAAATGTTATTACTTTATATATGTTTTCTATGGTCGCACTCACATCTTGGAAATACTTATAGTTTAGAAAAACTATAAAAACATACATACTTAATGGTGAATCAAATTAAAATCTTAATAGAAGCTCTTATATTTACCTTCAGATTTCATTAGACGTCGTCATGTAGTTTTCGTCTCGACTCGTCTCGAACTCGAGGGTTCACTACAGCCACTAAATAATTCCATTATCCACTTCCTGGCTTCATCATCAGATTAGCTTTAAGATGCCAAATTATAGTATTTACATTTAACCTACATTTGCAAACAAAGATTAATTTCGTTACAGCAACTGTGGGTTAAAATTAACTTCGCCGATTTGTTAACATACTTTACAAATGAACAACGGTAGTAAAAAAAACTTAGGGTGGCAATATTATAATATTACAGTTTGTGTAGGCACAGAATGCCTTGGCTTAAACTAACAGACTAAAAAAGCTTTGTTTTTATTAAGTTAAATCTTTAAACATATTATTGAAATATAAATGATGAGATATACCTAATAAGTAAAGCAAATACAAGGTATAATATCTAAAATAATGCCTTATTTTAGAAAGATTAGTAAACAGTAGCAAACATTGCTTTAAAATATTATTTTAAACTAGCTGGTGCTCACGACTTCGTTTGCGTGGAATATAAAGAGCGCTGCCTTAGTGGTGCAATACGATATGCGACTGCAGTCCATGCCCCGCGTTCAACTCCTGGACCGAACAAAATTTTAAAGGATTTTTCTGAGAGGAAAGCTACTTGGTAGTAAAATATTATCAAAATCGGTCCAACCGTTTTGAAGATTACACGGAACAAAAATTCAGGCAGACAAAAAATATTGAAACTGTAAGCATAGCATCGTGCAAATAACCGTGTAAGCATAAATAAAACCTGTTATTTTGACATTGCAAACATACACTTCAATTTTATTTATTTGTATAGTATCCGCTATATCTGCTATTGCAAAATTCTTCTAGAAATATCATAATAGTTGAAGTTCGTATGTACTTGAACCTACACTAGACATACATCAGCAGGTAGTTTATTTACGAGGACTACTTATATTTAGAGCTTGCGACTCATTTCAAATCATCCACGCGTTTGCCATCGTTTTCACCTGTTTCTCTGACAATGACATACTAAATTAAAAATATTCTAGTATTGTTTTTGGCATTCATCGTCTACTTTAGATAATAATAATAGACAAATTTACTTTATCCTCGCTATAATAATTTCAAGTATTTTCGAGTTTTCTTAAATGGGTCTATCTCTGTCTTTTACCTGTTCTAATCAAATGAATCTTGTCTAATCATTTTTATCGCGGGAGAGGGCCGTCTCGAGTGGAGTGATACCACAAACTCTCTGAAAAGTGGTGAAGTTACCAAGATCCATCTACTTGTGAAATTCTGGAAAAGAACCTGTAAAGATGACTATTCATTTGACTTGAGTTTGATATTAATTTTGTTTCCAAAAACCTAATACTTCGTCATCGAGGCGTTAAAATGAAATTGATTTCCTCTCTTCTGACAAGCATTTCGATCGTTTTTCAGAACGTATACACCAACAACAATGAAAATGAAAAATAATTTATTGCCGCAGATTGACTCACATCCGTTGTAATTTGTAAGATTCGTCTTTTTCTCATTTTCATTACTAAGACATTAATATAATGATTAACGGTTACAATACGGAGTCTTCATGACTGATTAAAATACTTCTACCAATCTCTGATGGGTGTAGTTAGTTAAAAAGTTAGAGTCCCAAGAAAAAACCGGTCAAGTGCGAGTTGAACTAGTGCGCCGAGGGTTTCGTACCTACCCAGATTTTAGGTAGATTTTTGCGAAAACTTGTAAGTATCAAAATTTACCTTAATTTTCAACTTTTTACATTTTTTGGAATTTCTCCTTTATTTGTGCTGTAATACCTTGCTTTTTGCCTTTAGTGCCGCTCTTTGCAATGTAGTCACCTACTCAGTTATCACTTAGCCACGGGCCCCTCTCGTCCGATCGTAAATATAAGAAACAATTACGGCCAGTTTCTTCAGAACAAACTAATTTTTTTAATGTCTACCAGCAACCCCAAATTACTAGTATTCCCGTTAACCCCTCTCGCTAAACTAAATTGCTTGTTTTAGGAGTGGGTTCATGTAGGTAGTGTACTGGTCAGGATTCGAACCCACGAACTCTTGATCGCAAGTTCAATGCCTTAACCACTAGGCTACCGCCGTTTTTTATTTGAAAACTAGTACATGTCGCACATGCAGATATGAATAGTTTTAACAACCTAACAATTATGATCTTGGTATGACTCCAAGCACCTAATAAGAATTATTGTTCGCATAATCATCTAACTAGTGATGCGAAACCGTGCGTTGATGATTAAACCAATGTCGTTGGACGACCTAAATACACTGTCGAAGTAGGGCGTGGATAACCACGCCCTACTTCGACAGTGATAATACACCAGTAATAATACTGCGAGAATGAGAACAAGTGTTGCATTATACTGGACTAATAATTTATGTACATGTATTTCTTTCTGTATGCACTTAGTCGTTATTTATTTAAAACGGCGTGCGCATATAAATATGCAAGTGCAATTTACGTCAAGTTAATTAACTTTCGGTCAATTTTAAGGTGACGCATAACGTTAAGAATGAATTCTTCTGTATACGTATAAACGAAAATATCTTTATAATAATAATAACGTTTATTTCTCCTCACAATAAAGAGGGTATTAGGATATTTATCGTGGTGGTTTGATCACCAGGTCACAACCCCACAGTAGTTAGATTTACAAGTTTTACATGTGGTTTAATTATTTAAAAAAAAAATATTATACAAGCTCTAAAAGGAGAAGCTAAAGAACAAAGATAAAAAAAACACCTTGCGTGAGTACATGTGTATATAGATTATAGGATATCATAGTACAGTATGGAGTGTATATATTTAATATTCAATACAAAACCTATTTGGCTATCAAATAGAGAGGTGGTAATAGTTTTTTTAATCTGATGGCACGGTTATAGTTTTTTTCACCTGATGGAAAGTAGCTACCGTCGCCCATGAACTTCTGCAGCTCAGGAGTCACAAGGGCCGGTCGTGGAGATGCCGATGCCGTATTATCAGATGCATACAACGAATGCCGCTGATTTGCAACGTATCATTGAAATGCAGAGATGCTTTTCATCCCGTTTTATTTTAGAGTCAACTCAATCTAGTCCTATATAACCCGTAAAAGACGGGTTTATAATTATACAGGAATTATTTTGCCGACTCATGCATGCCGAACTTTAGCTCTCCCACATTTTGACGTAAGTGCAATCCTGTGATTGAGAAGAAAGAAAAAGCTTGAATTGGAAATACAAATTAACAACAGTCTGACAAGTAAGTAATACAAATTAAACGATCTTAAATTATAGACAGGGAAACTTAAATAATACTTAGTAACAGGGATATTTCACTTATTAGTTAGCAATAGTAAATTTTAGCAGATAATGTAGTTTATAGCTATTGAATTGCCCACATCTAAAAAAAAACTTAATATTTTATAATAATCATTGAAGAAGGTTCAATACCCATAAACGGATATTTAGGTAAGGAGATATGCATATGACTAAGAAAACTGGCTGAAATCTGAGTCTGACAGAATAGTCTAATAGTGCTGTCAAATCCAGCTTTCTAAATGTAGCGTCAAAATTATGTCAATATATATTTTTTTGTAAATGTAATAAAAAAAAACCAAAAAAATGAAACTAAGTGAAATGAAGTAGTAGTTATAGTATGACAATTGTGAAAGGGTTGTTATTGGTGATGTTGAGAAGCGCTTTTATTGTGGCCTTTCTCAGCATTCCAAACCCTGTCGTTGCCTTCACTGGACTGAAGAACTGGTCCCGAAAAGCCATCTACAATAAGATCGACTTATGTAATCAATCGTGTTATAGCCAGATAATCCCTGGCCTCTACCTCAGCAATGCCCGAGCAGCATCCGACCCCGAAGTCCTTCAACGGCTTAACATCACCCATGTGCTCACGATCGAAGCACATAGGCTGCCAAAATCTACTTTTGCTGATACCAATATTAGCACGCTCTTCATTAGGGCCTACGACACTCCTCAAACCCATATCTTGCCCTACTTCCCAATGGCCAACGCCTTCATCGATGAGGGATTGCAGAAAGGAAATGTTCTCGTGCACTGCCATTTCGGAGTATCCAGGTCCGCCACGATCGTCATTGCATACATAATGGACAAATACAAACTGACATTCGAGCAGGCGTTTGTGTATGTTAGGCAACGGCGGCGGTTCATCAACCCCAACCCTGGCTTCGTAAGTCAACTTCGAGAGTACCAGAGACTGAATTACGACGTAAACGGTTTCTATCGGTTCGAGGCGTATATGAACGTGAACGCAAGGAAGCACAAGTATAAGATTGCGTCGCTCGCAGCTGTTGTCGTCGGCCTCCTCGTCCCGCTTGCTGTCCTGGTGGGTTGATTCACGTTCTAAGTTAAGGTACAAATCAAGTGCAAGTTTTGTATAAATTAAAATAAATTACACATTTGATTCCAGTTTTTTCTATGGCAACTGTTGTCTTAAGTGAATGCCTAAAGCTCATATTAATCGAAAGTTATGAAGAAGACGTAACATATTTTCGAATAAATCATTATTTACAGCACCTATTCGTATAAACTACAACAGTTTATAACCGCATTTGCCAATGATTTAAATACATCCTAATTGAAGAAACCGATTTATATGTTTAATGAAACGAGGAGATATCTTCAAGAACTATTTTTTGTTGAATATGGAATAGCTAATATATTTACAAATCTTACAATTTCATGCCACTAAGAAATAGAATCTTGTTTTGAGAAATGGATAATTCTTTCAATGTCATGCGGTCTTGGAAGTATTTTCGGTTTCATCTGTTACTACACATACTAACCATAAATTAGAGAAATCACGTGTGTACGACGCCTCACGCGCAATGCGCCCCGCCCAGGAAGTGCATTAATAATTTTACTAATTTATGAAACATACACAACCCCGAACAACGTAAAGGACTTCCTACGGATGAATTATTTTTTGACTTTTCATATTTGAGTGCTTTGATGCGGTTGCGCAAGAGTTTATCAATTTAAACGTTTGCGTAAGCACCATTTTACGAAGTTCGGTGTGGCGTATGCGATAATTTTGTTTAGTTAATACCTAGTGCCAAGTGAGTGGAGCGGCTCTATCATTTGCCACGTATTTATTGTGCATTAGATACTCTCACTGCCTGTAGTTTTTATCGTAATTTGTAAATGAAAATTTTAAATCTATTTGATGATAATCTGTTAATCCTTGAATTAAAAAAACTTTTGCTAAATATCGGCAAAACTGGGTATTATATTTGCATTTAGTATTGTTGAAATGACACAGTCAGCTGTGAACGTAGTTGAACACATTTCACTAAGATTTTTTCTTTATTATCAGTTTGTTTGTTTGCGAATTTGGGCGCAAAACCACGCAGGACACCAGCACTGCAAAAACAAGGAAAACTTGACACAAACCCTTTTTTTTTTTTTTTTTTTTTAACGTGTGGAAATCCCCTCGGACCGTCACCCCTCCGGGGTTTGCGGCGGGGTGGTGTGTCGGACTCGGACCGACTAAAACCACACGGTGTGCCACTCTGCGCCTGTAACAGGAGGGATCCGGGAACAGCTGTTGTTAAGACATCCGGACCCCTCCTAGCGCCAGCCCGCTCCTGGTGCGGGCTCCGTCTCAATATTTTTCCTCTCTTTAGGCGACGTCCGGCACACGCGGACGCCGCCCCCTCGCGGCTGGCCAAACTAATGCGGGTGGAGGGGAAACCCACCCCGTCCACCCGCGGCCACACTCAGGGCGGCATGAGGCTGTGGTAGGCGGGCCTCCGCCGCCCGGTTCGCCGGCGGCGGATCGGGTCCGAGTGGAGGTCGTCCTCCCGGGCCCTTTCCGCCGCCTCCTTCCGCGAGATTACTACCTCGCAGAAGGTTGCGACCGCGGTAAAACAACTGTCGCTACCGGCCATGGAGCGTACTACGGCCGGTAGCGAGAGATCCACTCCGATGACTGCAGTGAGGGCCCGGCGCTGCGCCGCCCATGCGGGGCAGACCGCCAGCGTGTGCTGGGCCGAGTCCTCACTGCAGTCGCAGTGGTGGCAGGCGGGACTCAGTTCCCTCCTAGCGACCGTGTGCAGGTACTTTCCGAAGCAACCGTGCCCGGAAAGCACCTGCGTCAGTCGGAAGGAAAGGGTCCCGTGCTGCCGCCCTGCCCACTCGGCGATGACCGGCTGGAGAGCCTCCACGGCGGCGAAGCCAGCGCGTGGAGTCTCAAGCCGGAACGACCAACTAGCCATCGTGGCTCGGCGAGCGGCTTCGCGCCACTCGCGCACATCCTCGGGCGGAGGGCGAAATCCGCTCTCCGCCCGGAAGTCAGCCACTCGCCGATAAACTTCGGCGAGCACTTCCGCCTCCAAATCCCACGGGGGAGTTCCGGCCAACGCGCATGCCACCTCCGTAGAAACGGTGCGGTAACCGCGTATGGCTCTGACCGCCATTACCCTCTGAGGGCGCCAGAGGCGTACCCTATTCTGGGCGGTCAGAGCCGCCGCCCACACCGGTGCACCGTACAGCGCCATTGACCGGACAACCCCCGTGTACAGCCGTCTTGTCGCGACGCTGGGTCCACCCATATTGGGCAAGAGTCGCCCTAGGGCAGACGCAGCGCCGACCAGCTTTGGAGCAAGCTGTCGGAAGTGCTCGTCGAAGAGCCACCTCCCGTCGAGGATCAGGCCCAGATATTTCATCTGGGCCCGAACCGGTACGAGGACCGAGTTGACCACGATTGAGGCGCCAGGGGGTGGACCACGACGGGGCCCATGAAATAACAGGGCCTCCGTCTTATCTAGGGCCACCCGTAAGCCCAGCGCCTCAATGCGCCCGACCACCAGGGAGACTCCCCCTGTGGCCAGGCGCGCCGCCTCTTGGAAGTTTGCCCCCCGGGCTGTCACCAGTGTATCGTCTGCGTAACAGATTACACCCAGCCCGGGGGGGAAATCGGCGCGAAGGGCCCAGTCGTACCCTATGTTCCACAAGAGGGGTCCAAGAACAGACCCCTGTGGAACACCGCACGACATGGGCCGACACCTCAAATTAAACCCTATACCAACCCGTCTGGCCAGCGTGGTATAGTAGTCCAAAAACCTCTTTTCTAAGGAGAGGCCTATGTCCAGCAGTAGACTATTAAAGGCTGTTGATGTGATCAGTTTGTTTATATTACGTGAAGGAGTTGAATCTTTTTACACGGTAAAATAGTCTGCTATTAAAACTTTGAACTGACAAATTCAGAGCAAGAACTTCAAGCTGACAAATATCTAAACTGCCTGCTTCTGAAATATAAAAAGAAGATCAAAGCAATAGAATGTTTACAAAAATGTTTAGAAGCAGCCTGTTAAAAGTTGATAGGCAACTTTTAGTAACATTGATTCACGCTATACAGGTAGGTAGTATCTTCATCAACTGCACCGCGTTTAACCCAGAACTACGTTTCTGCAAAGTGCTGGACTATGAACATCACATCTATGACTATTATATGACATCGAGGAATCTTCATAGGAACGTAATAATAACGTTAATGGTACCGTAGACATTTTTATTGCGAGAATATATTAGCACTTATAGACCATTACCATCTATATACATAAAAATGTTAAGTTGATTCGTGTACGCTTCAAATTCTCAAAAAGTTCTGCCTCGATAGAGCTCAAATTTGAACATGATATTCACAACCCGATTCAAGGATTGTTTTTATCTAGTTTCGCGTTAGCATAATTTTTCATGTCTCATCAATGTTAACACAATTTGCCACTGCGAAGCTTGGCAGATTACAGATAGTTTTTAATAAACATAGGCTAAAACCTCCTTTCTAAGGAGAGGCCTATGTCCAGTAGTGGACTATTAAAGGCTTTTGATGATGATGATGATGAAAATGCCTTATAAAATTGATAAAAGTTAAAGAGAAAATTAATAAATATTAAATGTAATAGCTAAGCCTAACTTTTTAACTAACACACATCGGTAAATAACTATTAGTGAAGGAGGGTTTTTCACGGCTGAGAATTTCTGTAAATATTTTTAGTATTAGTTCAGCCCTTGACCGAAATCTCAAGTTTTTTACCTGGCATATACTCAGTTAGTGACAGACATGAGCACAAACCAACATCGTGATATCCAATAACTAATTCGTGAGACACCATGGAATCACTAAATTTGAGAAAATATTTAGCCACCGATTGTATAGCCCTTAAAAGAATGTCTTATATCATTTATAAAGTATTACGTACTATTTCTAAAAATGTGTTACTAAGCCGGCGATTCCTATCAAACCCATGAAAACCAACTCAATAAATATGTGCTGAGCTCGACTATTTGTTCTGTCTGGGTGTAGTTGTGTATTTAGAAATACGAAAGTATGTTTATCATTTAGTCTGGTTATTCTGACTATAAAGTTTGGGATCAAAAGGGTCGTATGTGTCAAGTTATTATGTTGTTATTATTACTTCGTGTGGTGACGGATTAAGAATACAGTGTCACCATCTGTTTTCATCCGTGGGTGTTGTAAGAGCCGACTAAGGGAGAAAACCACGCAGGACAACAGCACTACAAAAAGAAGGAAATTGACATAAGCCCTGTACCAACTCGTCTGGTCAACGTAATATAGTAGGCCAAAAACTCCTTTGTAAGGAGAGGCATATGTCCAGCAGTGGACTGGTAAAGGCTTTTCGTAATTGATGATGATGGATATCAAAAAGGAATCTTTTTCCGATTTTATTTAGCAACCTGTACCTTGTGATTTAAAAATCAATTGGGCGATGCACTAAAAAGAACGACTAAGTCCGATACAAACATGACAGAGTTTTACGCTATCAAAAACTTTTTAAACTAATTTATTACTCTTTATTAAATTTAAATACAGAGCTATATATTTGTAACCCCCTTATAAAAATCATTGATTTTATTCTCCTACTCGATAGATTTGATATTTTTTTAATAACCTATTACTATTTAGCGCCAAAAATCTGCCATTTTGTTTTTTCTTTCAAAAAGCCATCTTAGGACACTTGGGTTTTTGAGACAGATATAATACTCGTACCTTAATTATCGAAATAAATTTCAGCATTGATCAAAATATGCAATGCTTTCTAAACTTACTTCTAACATTAACTTTTTACAGGGTGTTTGGTACAATTTTATAGCAAACACGTCTTAACAAAAAAATGAACAAATAAAATCGGTATTGGCATATGGCGACGCCTCCATGCTGTTGTCCGTTCTGTCTATCTATTAATTAGTGTGTATTTTGGTCTGGCTAAATATATTACAGAGAACACGCAGGTGCTCTTAGCAGCAACTGTATAGCTCCCTAACATTATTATATTTTTCTTTACATTTTGTTGCCTTTTTATACCGTATAGA